ATAGTTGTAAGGCAGGGGTGGGCAACTGTGGCCCTCCAGCTGTTGTAGAACTACAAGTCCCATGATGCATTGCAAAACTGACAGTTACAAGCGTGACTCCCAAAGGCAAAAGCATGATGGGACTTGTAAAATTATGGACAGTCCTGAGGCACCCTTTGCAATAATGGACAGTCTTGAGGCACCCCCCATTCTAAAATGGGGTGCCTCAAGACTGTCCATAATTTTAAAGAGGCACCCCATTCTAAAATGTGAAAAAACTATGCTCGTTTTATATAACGCAGCAACATCCACACATGTAGGACACCCAACATTAGAGGTAATTTATTCTTCCAAAGCAAATACACTTTTGCACACCAGTACTGACTAGTATTCCAATGTTTCTCTTCTCCCTCAGTTTTTTCTAAGCTAATTTGACCCCAGCACTGATGGAGATGGGCCGAGGAGGGTCAAACTAGGATGCTGTGCAGGCAGCTGACATCCTCCTTAACTGATGATGTTATTGGCTGTCAGGGTTGTGCCAGTGGATAGAAGGTCGTAATGGTGCACAATGAAATCCTGTGGCTTTGTGTAACTAAAAGGCAGGCTTGTTCCACCCACTTGTTTGTATGTAATTTTTGAGCAATTTTTAAACATTTTGCCAAGGCACCCCTGAAGAAACCTCAAGGCACCCTGGTTGAGAATGACTGATTTAGAGGATTATATTACCATAATTTAGTCACCTGTAGGCCTATCACTAGCACACCACTATTATCTTTGTTTTTCATCATGGTGCACTACGTGCATTGCTATTAAGCTGGATTCTATTATTTTAATTATTAATTCTACAATTTAGTTTTTTTTCTTTTTGACCAACATGATAATATATAGACAATCAGATATAGAAAATCTTCACTGTCTCCAATCCTGTTCTGCCCACTATTAGGGCCCATCAAAAGTGGTATTACAGACACACAAAAAAAATAATTTTATATATATATATATATATATATATATATATATTGCAGTTTACTAACCCTTACAGTAAATATGGTAGCTGCATTCATTTTCTGTTTCAGGCTTTTTTCATTAATTTGTAGCTGGTGATATATCCAGTAACATACTCCCTGTCTCAGGGTGTCCCTATGCCACTAGAGAAGACACCTCTGAACAGCAGCACTGTCAAACTGAGGAGAGTGTAGTACTAGCAGATTTATGTGGACTTGACTAACAAATTGAAGCCAAACTCCAGAGGATAGTTTAGGATAAATTAATAAAAGCTTAACATTGTAAGCACCCCTATCAGTGTTTAAGAACTAAAGGCACTATACTTACCTCCTCTCTAAGGGTCTGACGTCTATAAGAGATTAGGGATGCTAGGGGAGATCTGTGGGGAATTGACCTGGGATATGATGGTGATTTGTACTGGGAACAGGGGGTAAGTAATTTTGATTGTACTCTGTAAAGTGGCCTGTGCATTATGTACTCCTGATCCCTGTGCTGTAGACACTAAGAACTCATTCACACTAGTATAGGACTCATTCACACTAGTACTTGGGGGCAGTAATGGTTGATCTTTGCTTTTACCACAGTCCAACTGCTACCCCCCAGGCAGCGGCGGTTGGTTTACACTGCCATGGTTGTGATGCTTTGCTTCACGGCCAGAATTATACTCCCTTTCACTTTCAAGGAGAGTAGCACCTGCTGAATATAAACTATTAAAGTGAACGGGGCCTCTCAGCAAGTGCACTTCAACCAGTTGCAGTGAACTAGTGTGGGGATTAAGGGGTTAAAGCAGGTGGTGAGGAGGTGATATAATGCCTCCTTCCTCACATGTCAAATCCTCTCTGAGCGTGGATTGTTCTTCAGAGCACCGCTAGTGTTAACCAGCCCTTTGGGGAGTTTATAAAAAATTGTAGTCAGAATTCAAGCAGCTGTGCATGGCAACCAATCAGCTCATAGCTTTCATTTTCAAAGCCTAACTTAACAAGCTGAAGATAGAAGCTCATTGGTTGACATGCACAGCTGCTCCAGATTCTGTTTGCTACTGCTGAGGTTTGTACGTGTCTGTGGCATACAGTACATGAGCTGACCATAGGGGGATTAGGCTTAGGTGTTATTTAACTATGGCCCTTTAAGTTTCTTTTCCAAACCAGTTCTTTTTTGGACGGGGGGTGGGAAAAAAAACGTCCACACTGGGTGCCAGATATGCTAGGCAATCCACTGGCACCAGGCACTGAAAAACAAATAAATTCAAACTCAGAAGATTTAATTAAAAGGCAGCTAACACTCACAATGAACTTGCAGTCTAATTGCTAAGAATCTAGGAGTGCAAGTTTAGGCTTCCAGTGTGATAATTATCAAATATAAAGAGGCAAAAAGACATTGAAATGGAACTGTATACATTGCTGGGGGTAATTATTAGATCTGCAGTTAAGGCTCCTCAGGGTGGTGGGAGTTTTTTTTATGGGGGGGCTCTCTCAAATCTAACCTTTAAAGACACCCAAGGTATCCAGAGGAGACAAAAAGGCTTTCCATGCCATGGTGAATTTTGGATGTGGCAAAATTGCACAGTGGGAGGGCCTTAAAACCTGAGCCTCTGTACAGAGTCAGTTCTATGTAATGTATGAGTGTAGGGATCAGGAGTAGATAATGCATTGGGATCTGGTGCATGTAAGGTAGTGGAGAGGTCAGAACCCCCTTTGATTCATTTTACCACCATCCCCTTATGCACAGCACAGCATTAGCCCTATTCACACACAAACTGTATATACATACACACTGTATACAAAACATACACATACTGTATACTGTGTACACACTGTATACATACATACTATTAGAGCCAAATACACACTGTATATACATATATAAACACACACACAATCACTTACCTCTTGCATGGCTGGCTGGCCCCTCATCTGCTCTTTCAGTGGGCAAGCATGGGGGTGGTAGTGTTAAGTGCATGTAAGGTAGTGACTGGATGAGCTGTACTCTGTTTAAGGCTGCCCTCCTCATGCCTGTATAGAAAAATGTAGCTGCCAGGAAGTAATATGTCAGGCAGCCACAGGCAACCGAGGAACAAAGTCAGCAGCAGCAATGGTAACCACAGCATTAGACAAGAAATGCAGGGCATGTGCCCAAGGTGCTTGGCCCCATTCCCATGGCATGACCACTTTGGGGGTGGATTTGGAACCCCCCCTCGTCCTCATCAATGCCCCTGTGGTGCCTATGAGGGTGGGATTTAATTGAACTCTGTATAAGACTGCTACTGGGTAGAAAAGTTTTAAGCTGACCATACAGATTTAGCAGAATGGGTAATCAGCCAAATAATCGGAAAGGATCCAGCTTGGATCTGCTTGGCTGCAGCCATGTGCCACCATCTTTCTCTCTTCAGTCACCAGGAGCTGGCCGTCTCTTCCTGTTTCAGACAGCCAACCCCTTGTCTGTCCTGCTCCAGTTCTGCCTCTTTTCTCTTCCAGTGATGTGTATGCCTCAGATGACATGCATATATCCCTGGAGGAACCAGGGGCAGAGGCACATCATTCTTGCCTAGTCAAATATGGGGGCAGGGTACAGGAGGGAGTGAAAAACAACCAAACACAAAAAAAAACACAAAAAAAAGTTAGTGCTTTACCTTTGTGGAAGTGGGAAGGAATCCAATGAGGCAAGCACCACTCTAGCAGGTGCAAAGTTAAAAGCAATAATGAAAAACAGAATCCAAATGATAGAAAACATGCATACACTGCAGAATAATGAAAGCTACACCAACATATGAAGCTGCATACACATGGACTTTTACCAGCAATGTCTCTGTGACTGAGTCACAGTAACAAATGGTTGCATAACATAGACCTTTTGAGGACTCTATAACAACAGAGAGTCAAGCTTAAAATCACTACTACAGTAAAACGGAGAACAGAGATAATTGCAATTTTCCTCATACACCTTGGCCTTCTCAGTGAAGTCCAGGGTACCTCTGAAAACACAGGCTGATAGCTGGAGGGATCCAAGGTCCAAGGACATAAGGCCACCCCACTGCAACTGGAGTACTCCAGTAGCAATTGGGGAGAAGTATCTGGATGATTTGGAAGCTGTGCACTAATAGGCTCTGGCCTAGCTGCCTGCATGCTGGTTCTGAAGAATTTAAACTCCCTGGGCATGTCCAACTACCTACTCAGGGAGTTGATAGAAAATGAGTTCCAGGGGCAAGTGCTTGCATGTGAGCATGGTGAGTAAATGGTTATCCCACTATATGTTACAATCTGCTTGTATTGCTTTTAGATCTACCAATAACTGTGTAGTGCCATCTTGGATATTAGTTCAAGATATCATAGTTAGGCACTCACTCTAGATAGTTTGGGTGGATCTAAAGGGAATTATACAGAGATTGCAGCATCAGATCGTAATATCTATGGGATATAGGACCCTCCTACAAACTGGCGGCCCTCCAGCTGTTGCAAAACTCGAAGTCCCATCATGCCTTTACCTTTGGGAGTCATGCTTGTAACTGTCAATCTTGCAATGCTTCATGGGATTTGTAGTTTGGCAACATTTGGAGGGCCGCCAGTTTGACACCTGTGTCCTATGTTGTTGTAGTAACCCTATGCATTGTTACTGGCTAGTAACATTTTATTGCTGGCTTTTAAACTTTGAAAAGATTTTGTCTAGATCTGGATTTATACATGCCTGTAGAAAAGAAATTGCACTGCATAATGGAAGTTTAACCGCCTCCCGCCTGCCATATAAGGTAATGATGGCCGCAAGGCGGTTCTCTTGTTCTGGGAGGAGAGGACGTCATATGACATCCTCCCACTCTAACCGCGCATGCATCAGACACAGCGGATCACTGATCAACGGAAAGAGCCGAAGATGTCGGCTCGGTAATGTGAACAGCTGTGTCCATTCACAGCTGATTGCATGCAAATAGGGAAATGTCGGTTATCGGCATTTCTCTCCTCACGAGCTGTCACACTGACAACTCGTGAGGAGAGGAGAGCCGGTAATCGGCAACCCTCAGAGGGGACATGTACACTGATCATCAGGGCACTGATGATCAGTGTGCCCTGATGATCAGTGTAGCCCCAGTAGTGCCACCTGTCAGTGTCCATCAGTGCCAGCTGTCAGTGCTCATCAATGCCACCTGCCAGTGCCCATCAGTGCCACATCAATGCCACATATCAGTGCCTACCAGTGCACATCAATGTCACAAATCAATGCCCATGTGAGCTGTCTTTCAGTGTTACCTATCAGTGCCAGTCAGTGCCACCTATCAATTCCAGTCAGTGCCAGCTACCAGTGCTGCCAATCAGTGCCACCTATCAGTGCCAGTCAGTGCCACCTATCAGTGCGAATTGGCGACACCTATCAGTGTGCGTCAGTGCTGCCTATCAGTGCCGCCTAACAGTGCTAGTCAGTGCCACCTAACAGTGCCAGTCAGTGCTGCCTATCAGTGCCAGTCAGTGCCGCCTATTAGTGGCCATCAGTGATGCCTGTCAATGCCCATGAGTGCCACCTACCAGTGCCTCCTCATCAGTGCCACCCATCAGTGCCACCCATCAGTGCACATCACTGCAGCCTCATTAGCGCACATCAGTGAAGAAGAAAATCACTTATTTACAAAATGTTATAACGAAAACGAAAAATTTGCAGTTGTTTTTGGTTTGTTTAGCAAAAAATAAAAAACCCAGAGGTGATTAAATACCACCAAAAGAAAGCTCTGTCTCAAAAAAATTATACAAATTTTATATGGGTACAGTGTTGCATGACCGCACAATTGTCATTCAACTGAAAGCTGAAAATTGGCCTGGGCAGGAAGGGGGTATAAGTGCCCTGTAGGCAAGTTGTTAAACTGCAAGACCCCTTTCCTGCACAATGGCCATCTTATTTACAGTTGTTTTTATGTGTCATTATCTGCTTTATTATACAGGATTTATATAGCGCCAATAGTTTGTTCAGCGCTTTACAATATAACGGGAGACAATCAAGTTCAATACAAGAGGGATAGGAGGGCCCTGCTCCTTGGAGCTTACATTCTGCTTGCAATAGACAAGTAAGAAGCAATATAAAAGTCTCTCTGCAATCTAGTAATGCAGTCTCACTAAGTGACAGAAAGACATCTCTGCAAACCTCACCTGCTAATAATACCATGAATTAAGAACAGGGTCACAGTCACCTTTGACCAATCCTTACTTGGCAACATCTACCTCACTTCCCACTTAAGCTGAAGTAAGTCCATGTGCAGAAGGGCCTCGTCAGCATATTAAAGTGGAAAGATGTTTGGATTAGCAAGAAAACCTATTTCAAATCTCAGATAATAAAATGTCCTACTTAAAGCTAATAGCAACTTTCATCTTACATCTTAGACCTCATCTCCAGCTGATGTGCCGTTACAGATCAAGCGCTTAGCTTGATAAATGCTCCTTATTGGCCTCTTGGTATTGCTGAGTGACAGGGCAGTTGAATGCAAGCTAGCCTGTTAAAGGTGATTATCTGTCTAAAGACGGAAGAGGATGAGCGCAGGACAACCTTGTTTGTCATTTTGCTCACTTAATCGGACAAAGCTAATAAGTCTAAGAGCTTTGCTACAATAAAGAAAAATAAAACGAAAAGCAGCTTTCAAACAAATTACACCATGGCAAAGTGCAGGAGCCAGGAGAAGCAAAGCCAACTTCCCTGCAGAAGTCATCTGTATTTTTCCAGCAACACTGAAGTTGGAGAGCCGCATGTTCACTAATGTGCTTTTTAATTCAGGCTCTCATAGAAAAGCAATAAAGGAGAGCCTGACTACATGTCTTCAATAAGAAGGAAATATGTTAACGGCAGATTATACATATATGAAAGAAACAATCTAATAACATACCGTGTAATATAATATTATGTATAAAACTATTGTTTTATATTATCAGCCATTTCAGCCTGTTAAGGGGCTGACCACAGAAAAAAAGACAGGCGCATATTAGCCTCCATTTTTGCTATTTTATATAAATATAGTCCATTCCAACCAGGGGCAGACTGACAACTCATGGGGCCCCCAGGAAATAGGGGATCATGGGCCCCTGTGTCCTAGCCCACACTCCAAAAAGCCTATAAAAAAGGTACCAGGGGCATTTCATGGGGCCCTCTACTGACCCCGGGCCCTTGGGCAGTGCCCGTGTGCTCGAATGGTCAGTCTGCCCCTGATTCCAACATGTTCCTAAAACTGGACATGCTGTATAAATGTGTTACTCATCCCTACTTCATTAGCTTGTAGGTTTGATGAACTCTAGGCAAACAGCTAAATACTCATAGGAGAGCTTGACAATATTGGTATAGAAAGCGCTGCACACTGACAGCTCAATGTGTGTATATTGTGAAGATCAGCCTCAGTCCCCGGGCCTCCCAAGTCCATCACCCTGACGCATTTTGCCTTACCCCTTGGAGCTTAGTCCTAGAGCTGTGTTACTTGCCAAGAGGATTTATTTTTCTGTCCATCCAGTTTGGAGATTCACACAGTAATCTTAAAAAAAAAATGGAAAGGGAACATCATCTAGCTCTACTGCAGTTTCACTTTCACTTACAGTTCTCTTTCCCACCTCCACCCCATGACTGGATAGTGAATAGAGAAACAGAACAGTGTTGAGCTGGGTTACTCTGATCTTCCCTCCTATCAGAATGCTCTTTGTACTGCAACACACTTCTCTGCTGCATAGGGGCTGCAAGAGGGTAATTCCAAGTCAGATGCAGGTACCCACATTGCTTGCATTTAAAAAATGCATTTATAAATGTATTGAGTGAAGAGCTGCATTTGTATATTTTATATCTGGCGGGAGTTTGGCATTTTGCCTCACCTCTTGGAGCTTAGTCCTACAGCTGTTTTACTTGCCAAGAGGATTTATTTTTCTGTCCATCCAGTTTGGAAATTCACACAGCAATCCTATAAAAAAAGGAAAGGGAACATGATCTAGCTCTACTGCAGTTTCACTTTCACTTACAGTTCCTCCCACCTCCATCCCATAACTGGATAGCGAATAAAGAAACAGCACAGTGATGAGCTCATTGCTGGGTTACTCTGATCTCCCCTCCTATCAGCATGCTCTCTGTACTGCAACACACCTCTCTGCTACATAGGGTAATCCCAAGTCAGATTCAGGTACCCACACTGCTTGCAATTAAAAAATATATTTATAAATGTATTGAGTGCAGAGTTGCATTTGTATATTTTATATCTGGCAGGAGTTTGGCTTTAAGAATGCCTTGGGAAGAAAAAGAAAAATATAGATAGTAAAGAAAACTATAAATATAAATTTTTTTGCAGTCAGACAGATGTGCACCAAAACAAAAAGAACCCTCATCAGAAATTCCAGAACTCAAGCTGGCCATACACTGTGTGAAATTTGGACAGTTCCGGATGGATCGGCAGAGATTTGTTTAGTTGCCTGCCCTGTTAGCCCCCCCCACCGCAATAAAAAAACTTTGATTGAAAATTTGAATCAGACAGGCAGATAATTGTCATCCGAACAGCCAATCAAATCAAATGCAGGCGATGTTTGGGTATTCTGGCAGCTGTCACTATGTAATAGTCCAGCAGGTGGTCCATTCACATTGTCATTGTGGTTGCAGGAATCTGTTCAATTTTTTTTCACAGGCAAAACAAAAATAATCTATTGGTTTGTGGCCAAGACCTAGAATGCTAGCAGACTAATTACTATGTGTCCCCTAGTTTGTGAGCAGATCTGCTGTAGTGATGTGCAGTATTGGGAGTGTTTGCTTTGCAAACATAGTGATGAAACAAAATGCAACAATTCAGTGTAATTCATTGGAACAAAGGGGGAAACCCAAATTAGGATGTTTTTAACCATTTCAAGTCCAGACACTTTCACCCCCTTCCTTTCCAGGCCAATTTTCAGCTTTCAGTGCTATCACACTTTGAATGACAATCGTGCGGTCGTTTTAGAATTTTTTGGAGACAGATAAAAATTTATTTTGGTGGTATTTATTCATGACTGGGATTTTAATTTTTTTGCTATATATTGTAAATGAAAAAGTCCAAACCTTTTGAAAAAAAAAGCATTTTTCTTATAAAAATGTTGCAAATAAATAATCTTTCTTCATAAATCTTGGCCAAAATGTATTCATCTATCTTTTTAGTAAAAATAAAAACTAACCCAAATTAGTTTACAACCAAAAATTATAATTTTTCAAAAAAATGTTTGACTTTTTTTTTTTAATATTATTATTTATGTGTTTTTTTTTAACATACTGTCACCCTAGCAGTACAGTATCAATATAGTGACACTGTACTACTTGTGGGGGGTGATGAAGATTTTTTTTTTTTTTTTTTTTACACTGATTGCTTTTACACCCATAAAGGCTGTAAAAGCAATCATTTCTCCTTCTCTCTGGCTGCATTCTCGCAGCCATTGAGAAATACTGTGAGAGCTGTGATTGGTCACAGCTTGTCACATGGTACAAGGCTGTTGTGAATAGTCTTGTACCATGTGACCTCTGTGATCATTCACAGATTTCACACATAGTAAGCAATGATGTCAGAAGTGACATCTTGTTTACTACTATTCATGTGATCACTGATTGGCCAATGAGTGATCACATGATCGGGACCTCACACAGAGATCCCGTACAGCGACCGGTGTTCCGCTGTGTCCTCCAGATACAACGGGTACTGGATCGTGCTACTGCACGCTCCTAGGGAGTGCGCACAGGCAGGGAAGCAGGGAGGACCTTTATAAAAGGCCACCAGCTCCTGCAATGCTCTAGACCGGCCGTTTATGTACATGGGGCAGACGGGAAGTGGTTAAGGGTGTAACTGGCTGTAAATGTCTCCAGGATTAGAAAACCTTTTTCAGCAATCCTGGATCTATTTTTGAGTCAAAAGATGGCCCCTAATTAGCTGAGAACATAATGTATAGGAACCCTGCTGCCAACCCTAACCCTAGTGATCACTGTAATCCCTAGTTTATCAAGAAAGTCATGTGATCCCCCTATCAGCACTGACATTGTCATCACATGACTTTTATTAGCAACAAAGCCATGAGATTGCTCCTATCAGCGACATTGCAATAACATGACTTTTATTAGCAACAAAGCCATGCAATCCCCCTATCAGCACTGACATTAAGATCACATGACTTATTAGCAACAAAGCCATGCGATAAGCCTGTGAGCACTGACATTAAGATCACATGACTTTTATTAGCAACAAAGCCATGAGATTGCCCTATCAGCACTGACATTAAGATCACATGAGATCCTCCTGTCAATGCAGAGAGGGTGATCCCATGGCTTTAATGATAAACAAAGTGATAGGGTTACAACTAGGGTTACGGTAGGAATTAGCGCAAGGGTTCTTCTT